CAAAATAAATTCATTTGCCTCCTTCCTCCCGCCATTAACGTCAGAACTTCCCTCCCCTGGTTGCTATTTCTTCTTAGCGGAACTAAAGATCTTCTTCTTCCTCTACATCTTCTTTTTCCTTTTCCATTAACACTTTCTTCTTCTTCCACCATTAACACCTTCCTTTTCCTTTGCCATTAACATTTTCTCCGCCGAAGATCCGCCTCCTCTTCCTCTTGACATTTTGTCCAGGTATGTGTATCTCCTCTTTGCATTTTATATTTCTATTTAAAAAGATTTAATGATAGATTGGGTTTGGGTTTATGATTTTGATTTAGTAGTTTAGGTTCTTGGGTTGTGTTTGATGTAATGCAAGTTGAAAGGAGGGAAATTTGTTGATGATTTTCTTGCATTGTGGGTAGCTGGGGGTGGTAGCATCGATTATAGGTGGAGATGACTGAAAATGTATTTTGGATATGATGGATTGGTTATGCGATCTGGTATATCGCTTAAGCGATTAGCTATAAGTTTGGTATATAGTAGTAGATCGCTTAAACAATTAGATATATGACAAAAGATCGCTTAAGCGATCAGGCTTATTTATACTAGATCAATTAAGCGATATACTGGATCGCTTAAGCGACTCTGCAGATTCTTTTTAAAATCTGTCAACCCTTAATATATCGGTTAATAATTTTTTTTTCTTGCATTATAGGTTCTTGGCTGTTATTAGACATGGGACAAGTTGTTTTGGGTGTTGAATATTTTAGTGAGTGGGTGGAGGAAGAAAGTTGTTGGAAGTGGATTGGGAAGAGCAAAGAAGTTATACCAATTGTTGTGAGCACAGAGGTTAGTTTTGATGAGTTGATTGATGAAATAATTAAAATAGGTGATTTGAGTTGCTCACGTAGTGATATAGTTGTCAAGTATGTTTTAAGCAGAAACCTAAACATTATAAGGTACCCCCTGCTGTATTAAAGTCGGATGAAGGTGTGAAGTTATATATGCTTGATGTGGGCAATACTAGTTCAAGGCCAATTTTAAGGGTTTCTTTTGTGGATAAACCGTTGGAAGTTAGTTCAAAGGAAGGGGATAGCGAGGAAGTTGGTGGGGAGAATGCTAGTTTTAATTTTAACTATGAGGACATTGATTTCTTTGTTGAAAAATCAAGAGTAAGCGATGATTTGGGTGGTGAGGAGGACATTGTAGAAAATGTTGGTCATGTGGGGCAAAATGAAACTGTGGACGAGGAGGATACCGTACATGTTCCTACAGATGCAGATATTCTTATTAATATGGATTATGTAGAAGGTGTAGTTTGTGAGGAAGAGAACACTATGGTCCTTTATGTAGGTTTAGAGGTAGCAATTGTGGGTAGTAGTGAATCATCTCATGTTTTTATTGATGGATCAGACTCATGCATAGGGTATTTATTTGACAACAAGGAGGAAGTGGTGAGGAAGCTAAAACTTGTTGCCGTGAGAGATAATTTTAGTTCATCACCAAAAGGTATAATTCATCGGTAGTGACAATTGCATGTCATGACCGAAAGTGCAAGTGGCGAGTTTATTGTAGAAGGTTGGTGGAGTTTGAAAAATTTATTTTAGCACATATACCCGCGAGCACATATGTGGGTTAGGACATATTTCAGGTGAGCATCGACAAGCCTCTGCTGATGTTATTGGACAATTTTTCAAAAGTCAGTTTGTTGAAGGGAAATGTCCATCTTCTAAGGACATTCAAAGATATGTACGCATAGAGTTGGGATGCGATGTTAGTTACTGGAAATGTTGAAAAGAGAGACAACATGCACAAGATTTTGTGAGGGGCACGCCAGAGCACGGGTACGCGGTATTAGAAGCGTATCATTATATGTTTAAGTTGACAAATCAAGGTAGCAAGACGACTTTGAAGTGGGACAAGAATATGAGGTTTAAATATTTTTTTGTTGCTTACGGTGTTTCTATAAGGGGTTTTGTAAACATGAGAAATGTGTTGGCTGTTGATGGATGCTTTTTGATGAGAAAGCATAGAGGTACATTGTTGGTGGCCATTGCATAGGACTGCGAGAATTACACATATCCCGTTGCATGGAATGTGGTTGACTTTGAGAACAACAAGTTGTGGACTTGGTTTTTTAAGCAATTACTTATGATAGTGCCTAATAGTGACGAGTTGTGCATAATATCCGATAGACACTACTCTATAAAGAAGGTGATTGCCACTATTTACCCTCTAGTACATCACAGATTCTGTATAAGGCACCTTGGCGAGAACATAAAACAAAAGTTTAAGTGTGATGTCATCCTTCAAACAGACTACATGGCAACAAAAGCTTATCGAGTTGATGAGTTCGAGGAGCACTTCTAGCAAATCCGAATCAAGGATGATAAGATTGCTAAGTATCTTGAGCATGATGTTGGTTTCAAGTGATGGAGTAGAGCTTACTTTCCTAGAAGAAGGTTCGATGTCATTACCATGAACATAGCCAAGTCCATAAATTCGAAGTTGTTAATAAAAAGGGAGTTTCCAATTATTGCCCTTTTTGATGCAATACAAAGGACATTGTCACCGTGGTTCCATGAGATTCATATGGAGTCAAATAATTTTACCACAATCTTGGTTTCGTCGGCTGAAAAATTATTGTGAGAATGTATGGAACTGTCAAATGCACTATTTGCCTATACTCTCAATGCTCAAGAGTTCACTGTACACAACTATGGTCCGGATGCCATAGTTAACATTTTTAGTAAAACTTACAGCTGTAAAGTGCTTGACATTCAACATTTACCTTGTCCTTATGCACTAGTAGCACTGAAACAACAACACAAGCCGGATTTTGGTTTAAGAATTTACACGGAATTTTGCTCTCTTCTCTATATGGCAAACCATTACATGTTAGCTTATTCAGAAATGATATATCCAGTTCCTCCAGAAGAGCAGTGGGTGGTGCCACCAAAGTTGCTTGGCATTATCATTCATCCGCCATTCAAGAAGATAGAAAAATGGAGAAAAAGAGTTAAGAGTATTCCATTAGCCTGTGAGGTTTCTCGGAGGATGAATAAGTGCTCAATTTGCAAGCAACCTGGCCACAAGAAAAGCTGTTGCCAGAATCGATCACGTGCAGATCAAGAAAATTAGCTTCGAATCTATTAGAAGCAAGCAAGCACGCAACCTACTGTTATCAGAATCTACTGTTCACTTAAGCGATCTACTGTTTGCTTAAGCGATCTGTTGTTTAGATCTGCAGATAACAGCAGATCGCTTAAGCGATCTACTTCTCAGATTAGATTTGGTGAACACCAAATCACTTAAGTGAACACCAGATCACTTAAGCGATCTGATGAACTTATTAATGCTTCTCTGTTTAACAGGTAATAGACACCTAGATGCTTTTTTGTTTACTTGTTCACTAGTTTCTCTTGGTTGTATGTCAATCTTTTGTGGTGCATTAAACTAATTTTATATCCTTGTATTTCCAACTATGCCATCAAGAAGAATGATGAAATCGAGAGAGTTGCCAAGGCCAACCGTTGAAGACTTATTAGTCAATCGAGAGAGTTTCCAAGGCCAACCGTTGAAGACCTGTTGTTTTTAATTTTTTATGTTGACAATTGAATATCTTTTTGTTTGAAGTTTTGAATAGATGATATTAAGGATGCTTGTAGTTACTTAATTGTTACTCTTATTGTGCTACAAGAAAATCTTGTTAACAAGTTTAGAAATAAAATAATAAAAAGAAAATTAATTATCTGGAAAGGAGGACTGCAATAAACTCCTTCAAAGTTGTGATGCTAATCTGTATGAGTTATCTTTCAAATTGATTGATATAGATGAAGCTTGAAATTTGTAACAGAATTCGAAATTTGTTGCAAGCTAGTTGGTTGCAACGGTTTAGGGTGGAGAGGGTGGGTTTGGAGTAAGTGGGGATTAGGATATTGAAATGAAAAAAATAATTAATAATAATAAATATTAAATAAATGAAAAAGACTAACAAAAATAATTAAATAACCTTAGATCATTTAGTTTTATGTACGGTGCTGACTGACACGGACCCAAGTTTTATTTTCACATTCTATTGGACTCAGCCCTCCAACCTCCTACAAACAACCTCCCTACGACCTCTCTTGCCTTCCCCTATCCTTTGGAACCCAAAAATAGGCACTCCCCCGATGCCCGCCAACTGCTCAACAAAATGCAACAACCACCCAAACAACCAACACCAATTAAATATCCCCCAAATTGGCACCAACAAACAATTTATTCATAAAATAGTAAGGAATGTACTTGTTCTTCATCTTCTTCCTCCTCCACCTTGGATGAATTTGTGTCGGCGTCCGCGTCTTCAGACCCATTTATGGAGCCTACTGTCTGTTCTTCTGCCATTGTCATCTCCTTTGTCGCTAGACCACCTTCACTCATCGGAAGATCCACTAGAACCTTTTCTTCTACAACCTTTGAATAGCCACCAAACTCTAAAATTTAGAGTAGGGCTAGGATTTCCTCAGATTTGTTAATGTTAACGATAGTTTGCTTGTGTAACTAACAGGGAAATGAAAATCTAAAGAGCAAAGATTTGTCAGAAAATGAGAACGAAAATCGCCGAAAATTGCAAGAGAGAAGTCAGAATTTTTTGTTGGTCGCTTGTTTTGGGTTACGTAATCAATTTTGAATGGGGGGGTTGTTTTTTAATTTTCAAAATTTAAACCAATTTTTATTAATTATACTATTACCCATATATGTTTAAATTTTTTCAGTCTAACCCTTTTTGCATGTTTAGCGATTCTTAAATGTGACAGGTCAGTTTTTCAAAGTTAAAAAAATGCAAAATTATTTCAAGGTCATTTTTTTTTTTTTTTTTTTTTTTTTCATGCAAACTTGGAAGATCATGACAGTTAAATTTTCTAAAAAACTGGGGAGTCCATCCCTGTAAGACATGTAGGTGGAGGGGAAATGGCGAAATCTTCCCGGCACATCATATAACTGAACACCCAAATCTCTACTGCTACAACTAAATAAGAATGTCGGCCGAGGCTGTACCGGACGAACTCTGGAGAAAAATACTCGAAACCGGAATCGGAAACTCCAGCTTCACCTTTAAGGACCTCTGTTGCCTCTCCATCTCCTGTAGACGCCTTCACCGATTATCCGGTGAAGACTCTCTCTGGTCCCACCTACTCTCCTCTGATTTCGACAACTCATTATCGTCATCACAGGCGACATCGATTAAGTCAATATACAAAATTAGGTTTGAGAAGGACCGGGAGAGGAAATTGGCGGCACATAGAAGGGCTGTGTTGAGGAAAGAGAGTCAAGTGGCCGAGAATTTGCGGAAGATTCGAGAAATTGAGAGGAAATTGCGAGAGGAGACCGACAAAATGAAAAGTACAGTTGCTGAATTATCCAATTTACGCAGGGTCAGGTAATTGATTCAGATTTTTTCTTTTAATTGTTTCTTAGAATTTGAATACCTATGAATTTATCAGTTTTGCTTCAAGTAGAATGGTCTTTGTTTTAGAAGTGATGCTTTTATTGAAAGGGGTGATTTTGTTGGGTTTCCTTCAGGTTTAGGTTAAGTGAAGTATGCAAAGTTTGATTTTTTTGTCAGTAACTCCCCTGAATTTGTGCAATTTGTCAGAGACCTTGCTTGCAATTGATCAGAAACCTCTTTGAATTTTTTTTTTTCCTTTTCTGTTTCCGAACACTTTATATGCGCAGGGTGTTAAATTTTTCATTCTTAGGAAGGTCAATGACATTTAGAAGCAGAGATTGGGAAGTTGCTATGAAGCAATTAGCTAATGTAGTTAAAAGACCAAAAATGAACATGTTAGAGTCACTTTTCAGATAAATGAATAGAAAATTTATAAGAATGAATCTAACTGTTCTTGGGATAATGAGGGAGACAAACTGAATTTGCTTTTTCTTATGGTTTGCAAATACATGAAGATTTTCTAAAAGCACTAAATTTAATTGAGTTGTTCATATTGGTTCATTGGGAGCAGAAAAAAAATTATCATAGATTTAAATTGTTGTGATACCAGGTAATTTTTTGATTAAAAAATTTATGATAGATTTTAATAGTATTTGAGAACCCTTTAAGATTCTTAATGATTTGAATTTGTTTGAACTTTTTTAGGCACATGTTGATAAGTTATTGTGATTGGTTCTTTCAGGCAAGCTTCAGTAGCCTTGAATGTGTGGCAGCCAGAAGTTGTTAGAGGTAAACAGAAACAAATAGTTGAGCAGTGTGTTATTCCTGTTGAATCTAGATTAAATTCACTTGAGATGGAACTTAGACTTTGCAAGCAACAGATTGCAGGGTTTGACAATGCCTATGTAAGTAAGAAAACTCTCTTGTCATGCAATGTGTTTTACTTTTGCTGTATTTAAAAGGAGTTTGGTAATTATAATACTAATGTGCTGCTGTTTTCAATGACAGAGAGAGCAAAAACAAAGACTCGAGAAGGCGAAGGAAGAGTTGGGATCCATGAAGTATCACCCGTTGCGAGAGTATAAGTTTACAAGTAGTGAGGACAATGAGTGCAACTTAATGAGGAAGAAGTTGAAAACAAATAATAAGTGTAAGATACTCAGTTCTTGTTCTTTCTATAGTCAATAAAATATTTATTAATTGTTTTTAAAAAAGTGACTGATCATGTCAATAATGTGAGCTTCAAGCATTTTGCCAATTTGTATACTAGAATTACTTATTTATCCTTATTAGTTCTAGTTTCTCTAGTCTTTCAATCTAATACTTTCTAATGCTTTTGAGGATCTCATGTAGAGGTTAGGATCTATGTCAGCACTATTTTGGCAATTTTTTTTTTTTTTTTAATCATGGATTATTAAATCAAATTACTTTGAACAGTTGAGGTACTTTTAATATGTCTTATATCCAATGTCCGTTAATTATGCATATGAAATTTAAAATGAACGTTGAAAGTGCATTGATCTAGTGAATAAAAGAGGTTGTTATAATTTGTGCAAATTATAGTGACATGGATCCTGCCCATACAATAAATGGAAATAAAAAAAAAGAAAAAAAGAGAGAAATTAGTGTGGTCTAGGCTTAAAGACAATAAAAAGAGTTAAGTAGGAATTGTGCTTTAGCGTGTGCCTCCATTGGGTGAAAAACTTGTTTATGATTTGCTTCTACTGTTACTGTTCTACAAGGTGTACTTGGTATTGAGATCATACATGTTAGCTTCCCAATTGTTTTCTTCATCACCTCATTTATTACTCAAAAGAAACATGCTAAAATTTTGGCCGACAAAGTAGTAGATATAGCCAAGTTACTCCGATTAGTGGATAGTTTAATAGAAATTTTTTTATTCAACTTTTTATATCTTTGGTTTGTTTTGTACTAATTTAGAATTAGTTTTTATCTTGTGGTTTATTGAATTTTATGTCATCTTTTTTGCCTATTATTAGATAAGATAAAGATTGTGTGAGTTTTTATCTTAATTAGATAGGACGCAAATTTCCAAAAGTGTTTAATAGAGTGAGCTCTCATGCGGACACTTGGATTTATCTCACGGTTGAAATTAGAGATAAAAATTTAGATGAAATTTGGTCTCCACATTTTTTGCTTTAAAAATCTTCTATCTATCTCGTCATTTTCACTTCATCTCTCATCTTTGTTCTTGCTTTCAAAGACTGTTAGACTCAAATTCTTCACATGATTTCTTTGTCCAAAATCAAATGCCTTCTTTCAATTATTTATTTATTTATTTTTAACTCATATCTGTCTTCCCTATTAAAATATGAGGGAACCAAAATTTTTGGTGGGTAAATCATGCTGTGAAATCTTCTTGTAATGATGAGTAACTTGGAAGTAGTTGAAATTTGGAAATGATTCGGTAGGAAGCTACATTTGATTGATGTACATCCCTAGTAGGGGTGTTCAAAACCGGTTAACCGAATTGGTTTTTCGGCTCAAGAATTTTCCTGAACTGAAACCGAATCGGTTATGGGGAAAACTGGTTAGTAAAAACTGGTTAATCGGTTTTGAACTAGTATTAATATTTTATATATTTTTTTAATTTAGTATTTTTATAATAGACCGGATTTTTTTAAATTTTAAATTTAAATTTAATATTTTTATAATAAACCGGTTAGTAAAACTGGTTTACATATTCTCCCAAACTGGTAAACAAATCGAAAATTTGGTTTTTTATTTTCTTTGAATTGAAACTGAACCGGTTTTTCGGATAACTAAAAATTTGGTTCGGTTCGGTTTTTGCATTTTTTTTAACACCCGTAATCATTAATCTCTTATACTCAAACACACTTTCAATTTCATTCAACCAATCATTGAAATCATTAGAGTCTAGGCTTCCTCCAAATTCGAGTATATCAATCTTAAGTCCCCTATCATCATCAACATTTCTCCTTCTTCATCTCACAACAACACCAGAATCACTAGAGTCACATGGAAGACTAGTTTCATCATCAATCAACCACATGCGATGCATCATTGGTTTTGTTACATGCAATAAAATGTGCCATTTTAGAGAATCTATCAACAACCAAGGGAAATAGCCCACAAAGTGCTCTGATACCAAATTGATATGAAATCATGTCTCCAAATTCTTATTTCAATCTCAATTCATCCATACACATAACAATCTAACACTAAAACACACAAGCTTCAACTAGCACTCATTCGGCTAAGACAAAGTCAAGGACTCTCAATCTCTTTTAATGCCTTAAATCATCAATCCTAGCATGCTAACAGTCCCCAAAGATTAACCAACCAAGACAACTCATAAATTGGAGCAAGAAATTCACATACATACCAAAACCTAAAAGAGGGAAATGAGAATAAAAACTCAAGTAACTTACTAGGATAAATGGCTAAGATACATTCAAGCTTAAATGAAACTCCATCAGCTTGAAATAATCCATCACCAAGCGTAGGCTGAAATTTGGATAAAAGAGGAGTAAGAAAATTCAATCTCCATTGAAAGACTATTCATCATATATTCATTCACTCACTTTTACAAAATGAAAAACTTACCTTTATATAGACATTACAAATGATGGAATGATCCTTTACAAGATATTACAAATATCACAAATGGAATTGAGGGTTTAATTCTCATCCATATATTCAAAAACATAAGACTATAACCATTTAATCCAAAAGTACAACTACTGCCTTAATTTTAGGATCTATGTCCCTAACTCTACTTAGCTTGGCTATCCTTCATCTATTTGAATCAAATAACATCCATTCATTGGGCTTGGGCCAAATAAACCTCTCCACACTTGATGCCCACAGTTTGGACCAAATAATAGGGCTTGAGAAGTATTTTGGACCTTTAGCACTCCATGGACAAGTTTGTGAACTTTTTTGAGTGATTGGGTCGATTGTTGCACACATTGCAAAACTTGGGCTTCTTGATTCTTCAATGGAAACTCTTGCACAACTAATGAATCATTTGGGCCTAGAATCTCATCATCCTCTTCGGGCTGAGAAGGATTTGTCCTCAAATCCAAAAGTTCTCTATCTTCCAAGTAAGAAGATAAATCTCCAATGTTGAAAGTAGTCGAAACATTACCAAATTTATAGGGCAAATCAATTTTATATGCATTATCCCCAACTCTTCCAAGAACTTCAAAGGGTCCATCAGCTCTAAGTGCTAGCTTGCCTTTCCTCTTAGAAGGAAACCTATCTTTTCTTAAATGAACCCATACAAGGTCACTCGGTTGGAAAAAAGTGGGCTTCCTATGCTTGTTAGCTTTCCTCCTATAAGTTTCATTGGATTTGGCTATTCAGGACCTAATTGACTCATGTAGTTTCTTCATTAACTTTGCCTTCTCTTTAGCATTAAGATTCACTTATATATCAAGGGGTAAGACACTTAATTCTGTGGGAGTGATGGGGTTAAGACTATAAAGGACTTCAAATGGGGAATGGTTGGTGGTAGCACCAAGGGATCGATTGTAGGAAAATTCGGCATGGGCTAGTTTGTTGTCCCAATCTCTCAAACTCTTACTCACTCCCTAAAGTTCTATTTGTGACCTCGGTTTGACCATCGGTTTAGGGGTAATGGGAAGTGCTAAATAAGAATTTGGTACTCAGTCTGTTCCACAAGGATCTCTAAAAATGGTTAAGGAACTTGGTAACCCTATCCGACACAATGCTTCTTAGTACACCATGCAATCTTACAATCTCTTTGAAAAACAACTTAGTTACATGCGATGCATCATTGGTCTTGTTACATGCAATAAAATGTGTCATTTTAAAGAATCTATCAACAACCACCAAGGAAAATAACTCACAAAGTGGAGTTGTAGCCTTATCATTGATATTACAATTGATATGAAATCAAGTCCACTTTGTGAAATATTTCCTTTTGTAAATCTCCAAAAAATCTATGATAGTTTGCTCATTTTCCTTTGGAATGTCACTCCTCATCATAAGACCTTCAAATTCCCTTATATAATCCTTTACCTTCCTATCTCCTTGCGTGAGATTAAATAAACTCAAGTAGAGATCTTGCTTATAGTTCTCGGGCATAAACATTTTTTTCATCATTTTCTTCAACTTATCCCAACACCTCACTCTAGCCTTTCCCTCTCGTTTTCTCTTCTTTTTAACATTCTCCCACCATAAGGAAGCACACTCCTTGAACTTTAGGATAACCACCTTGCATTTCTTCTCATCCAAGTAGCCTTTGAACTCAAGCATCCTTTCAATCTCATTCAATCAATCATTGAAATCATTAGGGTTTAGGCTTCCTCCGAATTCTGGTATATCAATCTTAAGTCCCCTATCATCATCAACATTTCTCTTAATTCTCACAACAACAAAGGAATCACAAAAGTCACTTGGAAGACTAGTTTCATCTTCATGGGGAGGAGGTTGGTAGACTTGACGCCTAATGTGGGGTGTAAGTCTTCTTGGAGGTGTTTCTTGTTCAAGGACATGTGGTTTGGTTTCATGGGGAGGTGGTTGGGTTTGAGAGGTGTGTGTATGTGGTGTGTGTGGGGCTATGTGAGCTATGATGGCTTGGGCTATTTGGTTCATCCTTTCTTCAAGTCTTCTAAGGTCTTCTTGGGTTTTGTTGAAAGCAACTTCCCAAGGGGGCATTGGAGAAAAGGATCCACTCTTGTTTGACATAAAGAATGGAAAATTAAGCTATTGTAAACAATAACTCCGAGAGTGAACAATAACCTTTTGGGTATGGAATAGTGATATTTGAGGCGGTAAGGGTAAGAGGGGAAAGTTTGGGTAATTTTGGTTTATGTGAATAGTAATCGATGAATAGTGTTTTGGATAAAGGGGTGATTAAGCTAATTAATGTGGATTAGACAAATAGGAAGTGTTTAGTGTTTGGTTAAAGTTTAATGATAGTTTAGTTGAAATGGAATTGGTTTAGTTGGATTTGGATGGAATCAATTAGGTTTGGATGATGTGTAAAGTGGATCGTTAGGGGCTGGTGAAGTGTTTGAAGAAAGAGAAAAATCTAATGCAAGGAAATGGAAATTTTGGCCATAGCCGATTCTACCATGCCTTCAACACATCAAGCATCATTTTGATCTCAACAATCAATATTCAACAAAAATTCCCTCCAACAATCTTAGCTTTGATACCAAATTAAGCATCTTAGG